GACGGCAAGCCGCCTCGCATGGCCGTCGACCCGTACCCCTTCCAGGAGACCTGGCCACGGGTCCGCTTCGAAATCACCATTGTCGACGAGCGCGACGGCTTCTGTGCGTATCCCGCCCCCCTCGGTTGCCCAACTGTCTAACCGGCCGCCTTGCAGTCCACGTAGTTGGCGCGCCGCTCGCGCTGGCCAAGCCGTCGTACGCGGAACGCGCCTGGGTCGAGTTTCCACGGCTGCCGGACCTGCAGCGCCCCAATGTGGCCTTTGTCCACGGCACCGTCGCCCGCGTGGACTGGGCGTCGCGGACGGCCGAGGTGCGGCGCCACGGCGCAGAGGCCCCCGACGTCCTGGGGTACGACTACTTCGTTGCCGCGACGGGGTTGAGAAGGGCGTGGCCGGTGGTGCCGCAGTCGTTTAGGCGGGAAGCGTACCTCGCCGAGGTTGGGGAGCATATCCGCCGGGCTGGGGAGGCGTCGCGCGGCGTGGTGGTCGTCGGCGGGGGCGCCGTGGGCGTCGAAATGGCCGCCGAGCTGAAGCTGTGCATGCCGGATGTCGAGGTGACGCTTGCGCATTCCCGCGGCGCGCTGTTGTCGTCCGAGGGTTTGAGCGACGAGTGCAAGGACGCTGCGTTGAGGATGCTCCGCGAGGCTGGGGTGCGCGTGTCCCTGGGCCACCGGCTGGATGGGTACGAGAGGGTCGAGACGGCCGACGGCGAGGAGAGGTACCGCGTGCGCTTTGCGAATGGCGCCGAAATGGACGCGGGCTTGGTTATTGTCGCTGTTTCCAAGAGCGTCCCGTCCACGGCGTATCTGCCGCCTTGGGCTGTTGATGCCGAGGGCTACGTCAAGATTCGACCCGAGTGAGCTTTCCCGCGTGGCTGGCTGAAGAGTAGATGTGACTAACGTGGTCGTCGATAGCTTGGTGATTGAGTCGGAGGGTCCGAATGAGCGTCGTCACTACTGCGCTGGCGACGCGACGAGGTGGTCGGGTATCAAGCGCTGCGGCGGCGCCATGCATGGCGGGTACTGTATCGCGAATAATATACACCAGCGTATTCTGAACGAGGCCGTTGGCCATTCGCCAGAGTATAGGAGGCTGGTGCACCTCGAGCCCATGATTGCCCTGGCCGTGGGCAAAAACGCCGTCTCTTCGGGGCCAGACGGGACCGACGCCGGCCCGCATGTTATGCAGAAGTATTTTGGTGAGGATTTGTATCTTTCTGGTACGTTTTGCCTGTCTTGTGATGGTGTGTCTTGACGATTAACCTGGAGTTTTAGGCTGCTGGCGATGGCTGGGCCTGGGCATAAAGGAGGAGTAGAGGCTAGACATGTTACCGGGGCATCTGAGAGCAGAGCACGAGAACTTGTGCATTCTAGGATTGCATGTATAGCATTGCTTTCATGTTCTTAATAGTACCGGGGCGGATTTCATGACTTTATCGCAATATATAGAGTATTATTGACAAGTGGCAAGAGGCACATGTACAATCCATCCAAGCCCAGGGACACAATGGAAAGGAAGTACAGCACTTGTGACTATGTCGCTGCTACGTTTCCACTGGGGCAAGATGAATTTAAATTGCACATGTGTCAACTGGAATGAATTAGACTGTCCTATACCAGCAATCGTGTTGTCTTCTTGTTTGGTTACATTTGATTTGCTTGGCCAAGACAAGGCATAGCAATCCATGTGGATAGTATTCTTGGTATCTGGCTTCAGGAACAAGGATTATTTCACAAGACCTGCTGCATAGCATTATAGTTGCATTTTCTTCCGTTCATTTCACTGTTTCACTGACCATGTGGCTTGCCAGCTACACTTGACGCTATAAAGCCTTGTTTCCAGTGAGCGTTAAGAACCAGTCCGGACCAGCCATAGATGAACAAGGTGATTAAAAATACGCTGCGTTTTCCTAGACCCTATGGATCCCGTGGCACCTTTACTTTTCTTCTAAACTAGGCAACTAGCTGATTTCCCTTGCGGCACACTTTGTTTCACGACAACTTGATGTCTATAGATGTTCGAATATTTAGAATTTTATGCACAGTCAGGCCACCCCACGCTTTATCCTGCTTTTAAGACCTTTAAGACCAATATATCTAGAAGTAAACCCCCCCTTGCTCTGCTATATATTTATGCTTATAACACACTTTTTGCTTACATTTCTCGTTGTACTGTTTATTTACGCCGATGTACAGGATATTAAGGTTTAGATTATTTCGCTTTGTAGGCAAATAAAATTATAAGCATAATAAAAGTATTGTATAAGCGTAAAATCTAAAATAATATTAGGCTATACTAGGCCAAGAATAGTAAGAGACTAGAAAAGTAGACCGTCTACGCATCGTGACGCGTCAGACGTCGATGTACTGGATATGAGGAATAGTCTGCCTATATCGACATTTGTCCTACCTATAAAGCGCATTAATATTATTCCCCAGGTCACAAAGAGAGTAGACCTAAACTAGAGCAACTCAAGCGGCCAGAGTTTCCTATCCCGTCGACTCTCGTTATTTTGAAACTGATTACCGTGCTATAGCGTGTTATCCCCGGGGGAAGAATCCTTGTACGGTGAAATGACCGGTCTGCAGATCCAAAGCTACTCTGTTCCGTTCTTTTTCAAGCCTTTAGTAAATGCGCTTGTGGGTATCCAATCCATGCAGTTCTTCCCAACTCGACTTACAACCATCCAGGGCGGTGAGGAGGGCAATATTCAGCAGAGATGACCAGAGACTATTTCGGCAAGTACACCACGAGACTGGCTTGTGAAGAGCAGACACACCAGTATTCATTATTAATTTACATAAAAAAACAGAACGAAAAAAAGGCTATATGGTCGCAAGGGCCCACTAGTAACACAATATGGGAGCCGTACCAGGCTCTGAACAGTAACAAACAGAGAAAAAAACACTGAACGCATCGCAATACGTTAAACTTAGTATCTCAGAGGAACTATTTCAAAAGAAATAACCCTATATCATGGTTTAACCCCGCGGAGGGACACCAGTCTTCATGGCACGACATTATCGATTATAAGCTCAAGCTAAGTTCTCAGCTACTATTACACAGAAAAGGCCTAATAGACTGTAAAGCCTAATAAAAGGGCTTTACTAATACAGGACTTATTAGTTATACAGGTTAAATATATACCTAGGTAAAACTTTTAGGCCTAGGCGTTCCTTTTATATATATAAAGTAATTACTTTTCTTTCCTTTTCTCTTAATAACTTAAGACCTTAGAAAGACCCTTCAAGATTATTATTGAATTGAGCCCTTTTGCTCCAAGCCCTCATAACGAGCCCTTGTCACAGCTACTATCAACTATTTCGTCAAACATTTGAAATCCGGCATCAATGTACTAGAACTTGTACGGCAAGCAAATAGTCGTATCCTACATATTCCACAAGTACAGACCTAAGCTACGCCAAAGACAGCATTAAAGCTACATGTGGTCTTGCGAGCAAGAGAACCATTCCACCGCTACACACCTGTCACACGGAAATGGCCGGTTACATAAGGGCTACTGTCACAAGACTAGGGCAAAGTCCCTCACCGACTTCTTATATTTAAAGACCCCTTTAGTCAACGAGGCCTCAGGGAAAACTAAGGGCCTTTAATATTGAAGACTATTATTAGATAAATTAAGTAATTGCTCTAAGCCTCTAGCCCTTGTCACAACACCACAGCAAAACACGAGACATGGAGTGATGTGACAAGGGTTCAATATGAACGGCTTGTAGCAAAGGGCTAGTTTCAAAGATAATCGTGTAGGGTGTCAAAGGTCCTTGGTTTTCCAAGACAAATAAAGGGATAAGTAACTACTATATATACAAGAAGGAAATAACCGTGGCTAGGGCTTATTCCCAGGCACGCGCTTAATCTGTGTAACTAACAGATCCTTTGTCGGTAAAACCCCTTTGTCGGGCTTCACCGTCTGATGGGCCGTTTCCGTGTACCATGTAGTGACGACTACAACGCCCGAAGCGTCAACTGGTACTGATTTCAAACCATGCCCCAGGCTACTACTACAAGAGCATTTACCTCACACAGCAGCCCTGTCTTCAAAGCGCTCCCAGGCCAGTAATGTCCCGCAGACAAGTCTCTCCAAAGTCCCGCGAAAAACCGCCACCACCAGATGAGCACGGGAGAGGCCGCTCACAGCACGGCACGGGGCTCGTTGGAATTTCCACCGCGTCAATATGATGCCACGACAGCCGTCCATGAAGCGGATGTGATGTCCTCTCAGGGAACGGCGTTTTGGCAAAGGCCTTTCCCCTCCCACTTACCCCCGCAGACCCTCGGAGGATCAAGAGCCAGGATCTGCCAACACGGTTGCCAACTCAGCTACAATGTGTGACAAGGGCTTGAGGGCTTGGAGCAATTTAGCTCAATTCATCTAATAACAGTCTTTGGTATCAAAGGTCCTTAGTTTTCCTCGAGGCCTTAAAGGTTAAAGACGTCTTTAAATACAAGAAGTCAGTGAGGGCCTTCTGCCCTAATCCCGTGACCGTAGCCCTTATGTAACCAGCCATTTCCGTGTAACACAATGCGTAACCATTTTCAGGGCTCGACCTCCATCCCTGCGCGCATCTTGATCCGTGTACCGGACGCAGCATCCCAAGAGTGCCAGGGACTAGATGTGGCATGAATGTCGCGACGCCCGGTCTACTTTCATCAAGTAGATGCCCTACAAACGTCCTCTCTGGGAAATCCTCAAGCGTCAAAGCTGCACTCACTAACATGCACTTTTCCTGGTCCGTGGTCCATCGTAATCCAGGACATTCTCCTATTATAATAGAAACAAAACATGCAAGTAATAGTCCAACAGTAGCTCATTTCGGGTCCTCGTAGATTCTACATAGCATAGAAAACAAACTGGTCTAGCACCACGTATCAACCCACAGAATCAATAATAACCACATGGCCAAATCACACTCCTATCAATAAAACGAAATAGCTTTCAAAAACAGTTGATATCATTTCCTTTGCAATATATGCCTAGCCTACTGGTAATACGTCTTGCAGTCCTTCTCACCGGGCATCTGGCAGATAGTGACCTTGACACTAGCCTTCGCAGGATCACCCTGCTCGCAAGTAGCGTTGGCCGTCTCCTTGGGCGTCTCCTTGAGCTTTTCCTTGGACGCCCCCTTGTCGGCTCCGCCGACAGGAGGAGCTGCAGGAGCCTCACTGTCGTCTTCGCACTTGTCATCCTCGGTCGAAGTCTCGGGGCCCTTCTGGCCGGCAGGCGCAGAACCAGTCTGCTTAGGAGGCTCAGGGCCCTTCTGGCTTGGAGTTTCGGAGCCCTTGGGGTCTGAAGGTCCAGAACCCTTCTCCTTGGGAGTCTCAGGGCCCTTCTGGCTAGGGGGTTCAATGCCCTTGGGGTCCGAGGGCCCAGGACCATTCTGCTGAGGAGGAGCCTGACCCTTAAAGTTGACCGGGGCGTTGATTTCCGTCTTGATTTGGATCTCCGTGATAATCTGCACCTTGTGCGTGACGCTCAGGGGCTTGTTCTCCTCCAAGTCCCTCAGGGCAGGCTTGCAGGCCTCCACCACAGCCTTGTCGGCCTCCTTGGGTCCCTGGGCCGCAACCTCCTGGATCTTGTCAATGGTGGGCGCCCCGTCGCGGCACTTGGCGTCGCACTTGACGGCGGGGAGGTCGGCCGCCTCGGCCTTGGGGACCGTCGCGACCGAGTCCTTGACGGGGACGGGCGCATTAATCACGGGCAGCACGGTGAACTCGTCGGGCTTGGTGAAGTTGAAGATGGACGTGATCTCCTGGTACTGGGTCAGGATCTCGACCTTGGCGGTGGCGTTGAGCTCCGAGGTGATTTTGCCGTTTTCCAGCTTGACAGAGGAGAAGTAGCCGACGTCTGCCTTGATCTCGAACGTGGGCACCAGCAGGCCCAGCTCTACCGAGGACGACTCGGGAAACGACTTGCCGCCAAACTCGAAGCTTCCAATGTTTTGCGTCTTGGGCCGGTCCTTGTAGTACTCGTCAATGGTCAGGTTCTTGGTCGCGATGCCGGTGCCCGCGGGGAGCTGGTTCCAGCATGCCCAGCCTGAAATGGTCGCGTTGGTGCCATTCTGCTGGCACGTCGTGCCGTTGATGGCGCCCTGGACGTATTCCCACGCCGTTGCCTTGGGCACGGTGTCGTTGAGAAAGGCCTTTTGGCCCTGGGCCCACGCCTGTGTGTACCATTCAAACTGCTGCTGGGACATGTGGTTGTGGGCGGCTTTGCAGGCCAGGCAGCCGTTGACGTCTTGGAAGTAGGAGCTGCTTTGGTCTCTGAGACAGCTGCCATACGCCTTCCAGTTGGCCTCTGAGGTGGTGTTCTTCTTGACCTGCGTCACGATTTCACACTTGAGGGCAATGGCCTGCTCTGACAGACAGGGGGGGATGGCTTTTTCGCCTCCGAGCGAGTAGGTGCCCGGCGGGTGGCACTGGTCGCCGACTTTGGCGCCTCCGGCAAGGCGAGCCGCGACGTTTTCATCCTTGAGGACCTGGCGTTTCTTGAGGGCCGAGGCCGAGGCACAATCCAAAAGGGCCAAGACGCCGGCGAGCGCCACCGTGTTGACAAGCATATTGATAAAGATGAATTTAAAGAAAGTGGTGGTTGGAGACTGTTGCAACAACAAAAGAAAAACACTTGTAGGAAAGAGCGTCTGAATTGTAAAGAGCAAGACTTGCTGGTAGGGTAGACGGACTCGAATATATAGCACAGCCTGTGAGCAAGTTGTCGAGACATTGACGTAGCTTAAAACACCAAAAAAACCGGGTTTGTTGGACAAAACATGCGAGCCCATGGCATGACTCGGCAGACATGAGACGACCTAGGTGTCGATCTTGAGTCATGGGCATCAGGAGCATTTCGAACGTTTCTCCGTACCAATTCCACACCTGACTTGTTTCTGAAGAGAGCTTGACTCTTCGGAATTGTTTGCGTTTCCATGTAGCTGCATAGACTGTCAGATTAAGGTTGAGAATCATATGCAAGGCTATGCTCGGTCCCTAGAGAATCAACTGCCTTTACTTTTTTGAGCCACACTCGTTATTATGCACGCCTTTTACCAATTGATCAAGATTTCCAAGTCTGGATCGTATTCCGGCCTCCAAAGACTTGCTCGCAAGGCAGGATTCATACTCGCCATGGCTTGGAGGCTTCTCCAAGTAAGTTCTGCTCGGAACTGCGGTCGGGTTAGGGTTACGTGTGGAGACGAGCGTCAAACACCGCCGGCTCGTCTCAAGTCGCGCAAAGTTGAGGCGGTGCCAACACCTATTCATGCATTCATGCGACGTGTATACCCTCTTCAGGAGACGAACCGACGTCGAGGCTATATTAGGCCCAGTGGGGTCGAGGCTGACGAGACTGAAACTTGACATGTCCTGCACACTGCAAAGCGTGCGAATCAGCAGGGATATCTCGTGGCGCGGGCTTCAGGTAAGGAGAGGACTCAGGAGAGAGGACTCAGGGGACAGGCGAGTCAGGGATCACAGGTCGAGGCTAAAGGCCAAAGGCTGCCATCATGTCAATGGCATACAGGACAAGTCCAGCCTCCTCCGTATGAGCAGTCAATCCGTGTTCAACAGTGGCCTTGTCCATTTTCCCCTTTTAGGAAATCTCGCGCGCACATGTCCAGTCTGGTGGAAAAGGCGCCGGGCTGATCGGCCATTGGCCCCGTCGCCGATCCTTTTGACAGGTCCGCCCCTGTCTCACCTCGTCCCGTCAGGGCGCGCAGGAGGAAATGCACCGCCTCCTCCGCTGCAATTTTACAGTCTCCCGGTGGCTTGATGTTGGGCTATGCCGTCTTGGTTGGGTCTCGTGGTCAGACTCGTCGCGGCAGCCCGACAAATCTGGGCGTGAAGATTCGGGGTTCGGGCCCTGGCAAGATATCGCATGCCATGTCCAGACAAGCACATTATCTATGGCCCCGCTAACCCCACAGCCATTACTGTCTTTGTCGATGGATTCAGGGGGACGTGGTGCAGATCGCGATGAGATCGAGGAGGGAAACCAGGCCGCGTCCTGGCCTGAGCTCTACAAGACAGAGACCAGATTGGTCTCTGCTACATGGTCACTATCACTCGTCTGTACTCTCGCCTAGGCAGAGGATTCTACACTGTCATGCCACCATTCTATTGACATTACTTGTAAGTTGTCATATATTGCTATCAGCTTGGCATCTCCAATCGCCGGTTCCAATCGCCAGTCAGGCTTCATTAGACGCATGGATGTTGCCGAGGGTTACACCACGAGATCCCAGGGCTCCAAGGCTCACCGCCGCTTTGTACAAATCAGACCCTTTAGTCCCACGGGCCTTTGATATAAACTACCGTCGTGAGATGAATCGAGTTGTCACTCCAAGCCCTCTACTAACACCGTACCGAACCTGATTGATAACTCAAAACCATGGGATGATTCCTAGGGGGGCCGGAGGTACAGAAACCTGACGGCCAAAGTGGTCAGAGTTGGCTGAACATTGGCACGTCACACACATCAAGCAAAATGCAGGAAATGTCGCGCAAAAAGAGCCATTCACCCCATCTACCTAAAGTGTGGCATAATCAAAACCCTCGCCATAGCCAAGCCCCAACTTCTCGTCCACCGACACACCAAATATCAAGAGTCAAGACCAAACATCCTCCTACAGCTCGTCAGCCATCCCCTCCTTCATCAAAAGAAGCGCCGCCAGCCGCAGCAACGCACAAGAAACCACACGCAGAGCACATACCTGATACACCTTAGCCGCCTTCATATCCCTCACCACGCCCTCCGCCTCGGGCAGCGACACCCCCCTCCGCTCGGCAATAACCCGCGCCACCGCGCGCCCAACCTCTCTCGCCATGCCGCCCGCCTCGCCGCACACATAGACGTGCCCGCCGCGCCGCAGCAGCCCGTCCACCTCGCCCGCCGTGTCCCCGATCCGATGCTGCACGTACACCTTGTCCGGGCCCTCCCTCGAAAACGCCGTCACCAGCCGGAACCCCTCGCCCAGGCACCGCCTCGCCTCGTCAAACTCGTCCTCGTAGAGAAAGTCCTCCCCCCGGCGGCGGCACCCAAAGAACAACATCATGGGACCGACCTGCGTGCCCCGCAGACGCAGGGCCATGCGTTCGCGGATAAATGCCCGGAAGGGCGCGACGCCCGTCCCCGGACCGACCATGATGACGGGACACAATGGGTCGGCAGGTAGTCTGAAGCTAGACGTGCGTATGTGGACGGGCAGCTTGCCCCCCTGGAGGGAGTTTCTCGGCCCGGCGACGCGGTACGTAGAGTGGCCGTCTGTCGCCTGCTTCAGCGCGAGGAGGTAGTTTGTCGCGAGGCCGTGGAAGAGACGCCCCGATACGGGGCGGGCCTCGACGACAGCCGTGACCGAGATGCGCCACGGGTGCTCTAGGCTAGACGACGAGATGGAGTAGTACCGCGGCCGGAGCCTGGGAATCCCCTGGATGAGAAGCGGCAGGGGGATCTTGTCCCATGGCCTGCCGCGGCCGACGGCGTCCAGGAGCCGCGCGAGATTCATGTGCGGCCGCGTCACTTGTGCGGCAAAGTCGGCCTTGCGGCTGCCCAGGCGGGCTGTTTCCGCGCGGCTCGTGGCGTCGGGCGCAAAGGGCGCGAGGGCGGCGACGAGATCGCGCGAGGGGGCGCCGCAGATGTCGAGATAGTGGCGGAAGAGGGCGGCGTACGTGGTAGGACTGGGCGGGAGGGTCGGCATGGGCCACCGCGGGTGCATCTCGATGACGGTGTCTTGCTTGTCCGCGAGGCCGAGGGCGTTTAGGAGCCGCACGACTTCGGGGTCGGGATTCATGGGCCATATGGCGGCGTGGTCGCCCGTGTGGTAGGAGAGGTCGCTGCCGGCGAGGTCGATGTCCAAATGCAGGCAGTTTCGTTCCGGGGATTGGAACAGCTCTCGAATCTCTGATACTTGGGCAATGAAGGGGTTTTGGCTGTCAAACGGACCGCTCGTACAGCCCTTCAACTGCTGCTCATTGTGCTCGCCGGCGTAGACTGTACTGGAGTCCTTGCTGAGGCACGGCTGCTCGACTACGTCCAAAGCATATACGTGTTTGGGGTTGGTACGGCGTAGGACCCTGACGTGTTCGAGAGCAGCCCATGCTTTTTCTTTCCACGCGAGGAAATCTTCTTCCAGGGTCCCCTCGCCGTCGTCGCCCTCGCCTAGCTCGCCTATGCGTGTTGCGCCGAGACGGACAAGAGCGTGGTTGATGCTTCGGGCCATGGCGTTGTAATGGTCGTGGGTGCTGTCGCCGAGGCCAAATATCATGAATTGGAGAGACTGGAGCGGCGAGCTTCCCAGCCTGAGGAGGGCTGGTGCTTCTCCTGCAACGCTGTCAAAGAGGTTTGTGGCGTTTTCTGTCGGCTCGCCATCGCCAGTTGTCGCCAGGACAAATACGACGGTTTTATCGCTGGCCACCTTGTCGAGTCTGTCAAAGTTGTAGTCGGCGGGATTGGCGACGACTGTTCGAAGGCCGAATCGCCCTCGACCGTCCGCGGCCAGCCGAGTCGCGTAACTCTCAGCGGTGCCCGTCTCAGACCCGTAGAAGATTATACAGTCGGCATCTAGCATTTCCATCTCGGATGAGATGTCCATTAAAGAGTCCTCGCTCATGCCGGCTACTGAGGAACGTGGGAGGGGAGCAGCTCGGGAAAGATATGCGCAGTCGAGGATGACTTGACGGTGAACAAGAATAGTCTGAACAGCGTGGGTGCCTCCTTGGGATACCCGTTGCCTTTATTACGGAAACCTCGAGAGCCTCGATTCGAGAGGCATATTGTGGATTACCATACGCAATGGAGTCTGCTTGGAGCGAGGATGGTGCACCTGATATTCGTTGTGCAAAGCTTCTGCCCGTGTAATGCCTTTCCGAACATGTAATCCTATTCCCTGTTGCCCGTTTTGGATAGATATAACAGTCCAATGCCCGCGGAAATGCTGTATTCGGCTAGAATCACGGGACATGGTTCAAAACAATTCCGCACCAAGGGCGTGATGAGTCACAATGACTCCGATTGATCATGCTGGTCAACAAGCAGCCAAAAGAAGCCTGTCGATATTTGAAAGAGCAAGTGTACTTGTGGCATGCACTCGGTTGGGCGCGCCTTTTGGGCTCGTTTACATTCCATGGTCTCATCGTGATATCATGGGGCCAGACGGTTCCCGGGATCCAAGACTATCACCAACCATTCGGCATCAAAGGCATACATAGCCCGTGCTGCATTTCGTTTTAGCACCTATGCCCTTTGTGTGTTTACGTAGTCGTTACGGCACATGCATTGGAGACCATTCTCGCCCTCCTCGGCCACCGTGGAGATGGAGAGGGTTCAAATGCCGCGGAGATTCTCTGCATGTGTCCGCAGAGCCAAGCACAAGGGCACCAATCCGAGCCCGTTCAAGCTAGGATAAATCGCCCACGGATGCTGTGAGGGGCCAGTGGAAGCATGGCTAGAATCATGCATACATATGTAGTGCGCTATTTTGAGACAGGCTGCCGCCGAGGCGAGTAGAAAGGCAGATGGCAAGTAGCTGCTGGATTCGAGCTTTTACCGCCGCTCAACTCAAGCCTTCTGAATCTGATGACTTTGAGCGTTTTTAAACTGCTGAATTTGAGCCTCTTTTTCTATTACCCTGCCGGGGACTGTCGGTGGCGAGCTCTGGCCCACGGCCGGCTTTCCATGAATAACACGACGTGTGCGAGTTTCACGATGCATTTACACGTAAATAATACAAGTATTACCTTTAATTAATACTATACAAACACCCCTATTATAGTATATTAAAAAGGTAGAGCTGAAGCTGCAGCGTCGCCTGCCGTTAACCAAGTGTTGATCTTCCAATCCGCATCAGACCACAACTATCAAAGGGCTCGTGATAGACTGCCTAGCTACTGCGTCGGTCGCAGCGTCAGTAAGGCAAAATTCTATCCCTATAGCCATCTCCAGGTAATAAAATAGCTGTCGAAATGAGTAATCTAGCTGAAATCAACTCTGTTTGTCAGAATCTCGACGTTCAAGATTCTGCAATCGCCGCGTCGGCCGTGTTGATAGACCCGTTCTAGCCTGATGCCAGGTGTGACAAGGGTTCAATATGAAGGCTTGGAGCAAAAAGGGCTCAATTCAATAATAATCTCGTAGGATGTCAAAGGTCCTGAGTTACTATAAGAGAGGAAGAGAAGGGTAAACCGCCTTATATACATAAAAGGAACGCCCGGGCCTAGGGTCCTTACCCGGGCACGTGTTCTAGCTGTGTAACTAACAAGTCCTGTATCGGCGAAGCCCCTTTGTTGGGCTTCACGATTTGTTGGGCCTTTTCCGTGTAACACCAGGATCTACGAGCTCAGTCTGATAATGCCGCATCGCCTTCTATTACAAGCGACTAGCTATTAAATATAACTACCCTTATTAATATACTTATATTCTTGGTATTATTTGCATAATCCTGGCAAAAACTATTTTCGTTCTTCTATTAGAAAATTTCTTTGTGCGCTATAATTCTCAATAAAGATCGTCGGTATTATCCCTTTTCTCAACTTTAGACAGCTAGGCAAAATAAAAGACCCCTGATTTTTTATTTAAAAGAGTAGATTGTTATTTATTACGTATTAAGAGGCTTCCTATTTAGCAAGAGAGGTTCTTTGGGGTGTTCAAGAAAGAGCAGCTTGATCTTGACAAAAATAAAGTACCAGATATAATGAAAGTATGTCAGTTTAGAAGGCTACTTCCAACTTAACTAATATCAATCTTGGCCTTCAGCTACCGCAAAGGAGAGTAGCGTCGTCGTCGTAAATAAGTAGTATTTATTCTTCCCAAGAGGTCGAGGTATACGCAATTGAGTCCTCAATTCCATGCTTCCTATCATAATCCAATGCAGTAGTACTGGCACCAGTAAACATACGCCCAACCCAATAAGGACGCTCTATACCCCAGTGTACAAGCTCTATACGAATATTAATAATTTCCCTATATTATATACTAAATAGCGGGCTTACCAGAATAGCTAAGGGTGGACGTGCACCCACAGAGTGTGCTGTTGCACACGCCTAAAACTCGATCCGCCCAAGTTTCAGCATTGTACTGGCTATAAGGTGCATGTAAGTCTTTGCAGACGTGTCGCGAGTTTAACTCTTTACTGGCCACCCAATCCAATGGCTCGGGTAGGGGAACGCGAACAAACTCGGCCAGCCCAGTGGCGGTAAAAAGAATACTGGGAAGAAGAGAGAGCTTCATGTCTGTCAGAATAAGAAGGGGAAGTGCTAAGTGTGATTTTGTTTATGGAATATGTTGGTTAGCAAGAGAGGTGTTGGCAGTCTTATATACCCAACAATCTTTATATGGGTATACATGTACTCTCAAAAAAATCTCAAGAGCTGCAGCGCACACCGATTTTTAGCTATATGTTGAAACTTTGTCTTGACACGTAAATTTGGGCAATCAGAATCTACTCGCTGCTTGATATAACGTTTAAACCCCTCCCCCCACAAATATAGAGTTTACCGCGCAAGTATACTTGCTTATATAAAATGTTAAGTAGCTAGACCTAGCCAAAAAGTATAATAACTAGAAGTAATTTTACTATAAAGTTTACTATAAACTTATTATAGCTCTTGCAGCCTTTTATCGTATAGGATGCTCCCTCCTATCTCCTATAAACTTTCTCTGTCTAGTATGTATACGCCGTCGTCGGCCATTACTAGATATCTGTAATTCGGCAACAGACAGAGAGTGCAGGGAAGGAATGCTTAAAGAACTCAGTCTCAGGCCGTGAGGGGAAAACGAATGAAAGCCCTGCTCGGCTTGTCTTCCTGGTCAACTGCCGAGAGCTGAACGTCGAAACCAAAGATGCATAAGCCACTGGCGACAGGACAGACTAGGTTTTCAACTCGTCAGTTATGTCATAGTGACGATATCGACATCTTCCGGCAGCAGGACGAATCGTTGAGGGTGCAAACCCCCATTGCCAAATGCCAACGTGTTGTGAGCGTATGCTCCTAGCAGTAATCCGTTTAGATTAGAGGGTTATTAGACTAGGTTTAGATTGCTTCAAGTTGGAACGCTAAATCTAAACTGAATTAGGCAATTACGTAGAGAACTAGATATAATATGCCTAACCTTCTGGGCTGGACTAGAGCGAAAGCGTGATGCAGCTCCAATCCAACTGCTTCCGCCCCCGGGAGCCAACCCATGAAAATCAGGGCTTCCCGCACAACTACCACCACATCTCCGTCGTCTCGCCGCCATGCTACGACACGTTGCCGACAGTCGCACGCGTTATCGAGGCCGGCAGCCCTGGTAGGAACACCAACTTCAACCATGTTCCCTCAAGGCGAGACAGCTTCCCGTGCCGCCGTCGTGGAAGTTTTCGCCTGTGGCGTCGTCATGCTAAAGGTGAAGACGGGACCAACACCCCGGTGCCGTACACTGTCATGAATCACCCAGGGGACACTGTAATTGTGAATAGTAATCTGCACCGACAGCAGGTGGCGCGAATCTGGCTCCAATTTACCGGCTCTGCTCCCGGCGCAGTACCTAACGGATCGGTGACGATGACCTGCGCTGAGACCGGGCAGGACTTTGTCTTCTCTATCCAGGGGAATACCATATCACGACCAACAACTGCTGTGATGCTCGTCCTCGATCAGTCGGGCAGCATGCCGATGCCACCACTAAGCGGATTGACATGCTCCATCGAGCTGCGGAGAATTATAAAAAATAAGTTAACTTGAGTTAAAAACTATCCCAGCTAGTATTCTATTAGTTCTTAGCGGTCGCACGCTTCTTTTGCGATTATACCTCTCTATATAGCATTGAGTGGCGTTCTCGTTTCGTTGCTTTACCAGCTCCTCACAGACCAATTGTCACTGTAGAGATAGGTCGCGCCGACCGTCAGTCGAAAATACCAGTGTGACACTGACAGTCTTCTCCGGCACCTACTAGTAGCAAGTATAAAGACTAAAATTATACATGTAGCTAGTGTGATAACGTCGCGGCCAAGTATAAAAGTGCCAAGACGTCTCAAGAGAATAGCTCCCAACTCTCAGACTCACTAAACAAGACGAAATTCAACGAAATTCAAAACAATTCTATATTCTAGTCTTGCAACTTGGTAATATAATTTGCGAGAATCCCCGTACGCACGTTGCAATGCGTCTCAAGGGAAACCCGTAGTGTTCAGTCCACTAGTTCAGTACATCTTGGTCCTACATATATAAGTAGGTACACCAGGCACACTATTATTTACAACTTTGGTCCCTTGCCTTTGCCTTTGCCTTTAGTATTAGACTGAACCAAGTTCTTAGCCCATTTATTCACTTCAATCGCCTCATTCACCGTCTTGACCGGCTTCACAGGCGACACCACAATAATACGAGGATTACTCTTGCTGCGCTTAGCCTCAAGCGTATCGCCCGACCACTTTCTCATATTATCAATAATAAACTGCTCGTTGCTGCCGTGAATTGTCGCCGCTATGTTGCGACTCCCGCCCTGGTTCTTGATGCCTCCCTCGGTATACTTGGTCGTGTAATAAACACGGGTAGTAGGGGCGTCGTCCTTTTCAGGAACATTGGGATCAAAAGAGTCCCAAAAGCCCGCATGTCGATGCTTGGGGTCGATTGGAGTCCTGCCCTCTTCTCTATATTCCGGTATCTCGTTGCTGTCGGGGGGAGCGTCGCCCTCGGGCGGCGGCGGCGGCGGCGATCCCTCTGGCGCTGCGGCATCTTGTCGCTCTGGTTGGATTTCGCCCTCGGGCGGCGGTGAGCCTTCTGGTGTAAATGTCGGTGGGGTCTCTAGCTCCGGTCGCCATGTTTCCGGTCCTTCCAGGAGGAAGGGGACCTCTGGCGATCCTTCTAGTGGCGGAGCGGCGCCTTCTAGCGGAAATCCAGGTTCCTCGTGAACGAATGTGGGAACCTCGACGATGTTGAACGGTGCCGCGCTGCTGCTGAGGCAGAGGGAAAATGCAATGGCCAGAACGGCTGAGGGCGCGCGCATAGTGAAGACAGAGGGTGTTGTGATGGACAGTGTGTGGGCGCTCTGGGGTTGTAGATGGTATGATAACAAATACAGACATGTAGTTGCAGAGGATTTTTACTCGAGGGACAGCAGGCTGGATGCTTAATTTTATTTATATTTACACTCACAAATCTAGCGTACTAGACAAGCTCGTTATAGGTACGTATTAAGCAACCAGGGAAGTGAGGAATCAAATTGGATACCTGCTAATAATTTATGCAATTAATACTACTCGTCTTGGCATTACGGCGTTTTTGTGCTGGCGAGGGCCGGCTTTAACGCACCTCAGCAGATATTCCACTATTATATACTCCGTATTATAGTGCAGCTCTTGTAGGGTTATTAAGTGATATACAATCTTTGGCAAGCGCATACCTGTTATTGGTCTTGTAGATTCGCATAAATATTACGACCCTGTTCAGATAAGACTACCACGCGATAAAGCCAACCTAGAAAAGATAAATCTAGCCAGAAGAAAAAGCGGACAGCCAAGAAAATGCGTGTATTATTTTTCATTACTTTTCCTATGATACAAGCTAAAAATATAGCCAGCCACACGGGAAGAGCTTGGGGTGGCCTGGAGGTCAATTTCCTACGCGAGCTAACACAAGATTCAAGTGTTTGGGTTTTTCTCATACTGCTCGTCCGTAATAGAGTGTCTTTATCAACAAACCTATGCGAGCTCTGTTGCTGCTCTTCCAAGAGATGCCTGGGCTTCTAAAGTCGGTAGCTCTACCAGTAGTCTATCTGTCGCACAAATTGGCAAGCAATGCTCCAAGACGCAATGGCGGCCAAATTGGCATCCCTTTGCTCGTATTCGGAATCGGCGACGCATGGGCGAATCATATCGATTTGTTCGCAGGTTAGAAGCTGGGTTGGTGTTGGTACCAGGTGTGTGCCATCGAACGGGGTCCGTAGCAGCAGCCACTACAAAAGTGAAAGCAGAGGAGCCGTCCATTTCTGGAACAGCAACGACGTCTTCAACCGATATCACTGACCTAAATCACCCTCTGCGTTGTACATGTACAAGACGCAGGTTTAAACGTAGCGTTTCTCTAGCCCTAGTTGTGAGTACAATGCCTAGGCACAGGGTGGGTATGTATTCTGCATCTGGTCGGCAACAGGACACTCCACACATGATGCAAACCATGCAGAACCGCGTGGGCTTGCAGCCTTTATTCATCGACGCTAAATTATAAATGTCCGTCGCCGCGAGGCTGATCCAAGACGTCTCTCCTCCAGAAATTATTGAGCGGTAGTTAGCCTTATGCATCGTCCCCGTCCAGTCCTTGCAAGTGTCCATCCCCTTGTCGTACCATGACGGCCTTCTGGAGGGCAGCACGAGGTGGGAACTTGGCATTGAAGACATCGTCCATCTCCTCGAGGGTGCGGCCACGAGTCTCAACACCAAAGACAAACCATATGACACTATAGAGCAGGTTCAGGCCTACAAAGATGAGGTAGTACCTCCAGTCGATCGAGTCCAGAGCAATAGCGGTAACATACGTGTTGTACAAGTTGGCACAGTTGGACAGAATGACGTGAATTCCCATTCCTTTGGCACGAGTAGGCGTGGCCAGCACTTCGGCACAGTACGTGGCGGTAAGCGGAGTGTAGACAAATGAATAGGCGCATCCGAAAAGGAAGATGAAGGCAACACCACCATTGGAGAGGGCTGAGCTGACAGTCTTGGTCTTGTCCTCAAAGTGGCTCGAGAATCCCGTCACGCCGCCGAAGAGGCCTGCCAGAACAATACTGCCAACCCACAGCTTGGTTCGCCTGCCAATGCGATCATTGGTTGCCGATCCAGCGACCGCGCCCGCACAAGAGACAATCGAGTTCATAAAGGTAAGCAGCAGTCGCTTTTCGGTCGTCTGGATGCCGAGAAGCTTGTACATGGAGGGCAGATAGTAGGTCAAAACAGAGTTACCCGCCATCTGAGCAAAGATGGACATGAAGGCCATCATGGCGAATCGCCAGCGGGCGTTGTGCGTGTCGACAAGAGCCCAGTAGTTCCACACGCTAGAAGCCTTCTGCAGCTCGATGTTCTGCTCGAATTCTCGAATCTCAAGCTTGACCATGGGATGTTCCATGTCACCACCTCCGTGATATTTGGCTAAAATGGAAGCGGCCATTTCCTTCTTGCCCTTCATGGTGAGCCACCGGGGAGATTCGGGAACGAGGCAGGCTCCAATGAAGATGAAGGCGGGCGGGATCAGCTGAAGACCCAGGGGCAATCGAAAAGCGAGTTCGCTGTCGTTTTTGGCAGAGGCATATGCTACGCCGGTGGCCAGGATGGATCCAGTGTAGAAGACTAAAACGACGTGTCAGGTACATGAACAGGTGCAGTACGCATTTCCAGGGGTCGATCCATACAAGTGTTATAATAACCGACAACACGGGCTCGCCATTGGGGAGGGGCGAGTTCGAGGGCGTAAGTGGGAGCGGAGGACGTTCCGATAGACACACCGAATCCGAGGACAAACCGTCCACCCAGGAGGTAGGAATCGTTCTGGGCGGCAGTCTGGACGGCAGCTCCGATCATGATCAGAACAGATCCAGTCATCATGCCCACTCGACGGCCAAAGTGGTCGCAGATGGGGCCAGTGAATAGAGATCCGACCATGTTTCCAATAGTGTAGATCATGAAGATGCTGGTTTGGAATTAGCAAGTTGGAAGGGGGCCATTCACATGGGACAGGAATGGGAATACAAACATGCCGGTGGCAGACCCAAGCTCGGTGTGGTGAAAATAGGCCTTGTACTGATCCATAGCATTGATGGAACTGAAGATGGACTAGATGACGTGTTATGAAATAAAGCAAGCGCATGAGTGTAGGGTCACGGAGCGTGGACATACGCCGTCGAAGCCAGAGGCGGTTGCGTTGAGTGCGGCAACCAACAAAATCATGTAAAGCTGCAGACTGGTCTTGGACCAAGGGTTCAAGGGCGCAGCCGTGACAGTCTCGTAGAAGTGAGCATCGCCCTGGATCTGGGTGATTTCACGGTCGCCTTTCTCCATGGCAGGATCGACATCTGGGTCGGCGTGGATTGATCCATGGCCGACCGTGGCCGTTGGCTGTGAGCTTCGTTTTTCTAGGCCCATTTTGGTGATTGCTGCGATGGTGATTGACGGACTGGGTGAGAGCCTCGTTCCAGTGTCTTGACCATGTCCAAAACCACGTAGGAAACGGTGGTTTATCTATCTCCTCGACTGGCCACATCCCCCAGGTTCTTGGGGCCCAGCAGGCTGGGGTGACCAGCCGGCAATTGCAAGTTCCATGTCACGGCACGGAGAACCCCTCCCCCAACTTGACCCCCAAGGTGTGCAAGCCATGCTTTGAAAACGCTAGTGAGTAGTTAGTCTCTCGGTGCCTGGGTGGTGGAAACGCTGGTGGACAACCAGGCCGTGACAATACTTCTTCGGACATCTGGGTTCTCATGACAACAGGCTCAAGCAGGGTTGTTGAGAGCTTGGGTACCCAAGGCTGTGGATTGGCGTCAACAGACTCTCGGGGTCATCTGTTTGGTTTGCGTCTGCCGTTGGGCAGGCACTCTACTCCGTAGCTCCTTCCAATCTGACTCTGGCAACGGCGAGGAAGGTGACCCCCACGGTGGCTCCCTGTGCCACCCGTCGACGTCTGGCAGTCTCGAGACCCCCCGCGATGCACTCCAGACAAGATGCCTTCGAAATCGAATTGAGCAAGATCTGCCGACATATTCATGGGCCTGCGTTCGTTGCGCGCACCTTTTCCCGAAGGATAACGACGAACACGGTGCGGGTGACAATCGTGGCACATTGACAGTTCCCTTCATTGTTGCCGCCAAGCACGCCACGCCTGCTTCAAGGTTACAGTCGACTCAATATCTCCCCACTGGCAACCCCCATTCAAAGAACCTCGGTCTGAAGAATTGAGCCGTGTTGGATTCGATATCGATTTACCATTCGTACCACGCTGAACGTCTCTCAGATATCGCATTTCTGCACGATGCCCTATCACACCCAACTTTATGAATCTCTACGGCAAACAGCAGCTCATGCTTCCATGCTGCCGGCTTGCCGACTCTCCACATGGGCATATCGGGATATCGGGATACCATACCCCAATCCCTCATCTCAACGAGAAACTCTCCTCATGAATTGAACAGCTCTTCCCCCACGAATTGGAGAGCCAGTTTACCTCTTTCATATACCTTAATTGATGCGACAAGCCACCGCCAGGTACGCTCCGCCGAGAGTTGACCGGAGCTGTTTCCGCATTCGCGCATGATAACTACTCGATATGCACTCCCCCCCCCCCAACACACGGGGGCTCCATGCCACGAGCTGATGGTCCCATTCCTTTGGGTCAGCTAGGCTTTGAAGTTTCACATTGAGCTTGGTCTGGGTTGTGATTGGCATGGCAGCCCCCTGTGCATTAACAGGTTCATCATTGTTGCAGCGTAAAGGATGGTGCTTTATGGTTATTCAACGTTCTCAATTCAAGGTCTTGAGAAGCACAATATTTTGATCTTCGCGGCCTTTTCCGAAGGGCACAGGCTGCCGGAGCGTTGGTCGCCACGAGGATGAATTCCGGTTATGAGTGGTAACAGGAGCGTTCTGCATCACTCCACCAGGCATGACTTCTTGAGACTTCGTCAGAGCCAAACGAATTTGGTAGCAGTATAAGACCCCCATGTAGCCACGTGGGCGACAGAGTAAATTTTAAGCCATCTCATACGAGCCTGAAACTGCATTAGGTTTGATATGCTCTCTCATGGTAAATCCGGTGTCGGCGGTGCAATGCTAAAGTAAAGATTATTGGAGATTGGAGCAGGCGACAACGGTTACTCTGTACGCAATTAGAATCAACGGAGTTGGGGCGAGGGCGCACTTTGCCTCGGTGCAAAGTAAGCCAGCACACGCATCTCTCCAAATTGCTTACAGGCTCTGCCGTCGTCGGGTTTGTGCGTCACAGGCCTGCGTTGGTGCCTGAGACTGAAGTACGATGCACAATATGTGACGCTGCGCTACGAATCGGCATTCCACGCGCGCGGTGGACCTGGAGACGCGCCAACCACGACGCGTTCATTTCAAACCGCCATTCAACAGCATCAATGTATCAACCCAGCTGACGAAGCCGCAAACATCCGAACCATGGTTGGAAAACGCTCAACGAGGCCGTCATCTAGAAACGTATCGTCCGGTCAGCCAAGAAAGCCTAATGCGTCATTTTCAGCTCGTCTCAGCGCGTCACGACACAGCGACGATAGCTTTGGTTCTGATGACGACAACCAGCCATCCGACAATGAATTGAGAAGCGCCAAGAGACGCAAAGTCTCAAAACCTCGGTCGAATAGGGTAAATGGCACCTGCATTTCCATATTCCAAAATTGCGGCACTGTTTCACCAGAGCCATGTTGCCCTTCGTCGGGGCGGCAGCACTCGCTCTCATACCACAAACCGCTATTCCTCTGTGATAGCCGGGGCTTCGAACATCGGCAGGCCTTGTTGTCATGGTTCGACTCGGTCAGCATGACCCGCGCCATGCCTTGGCGTAAACCCTGGATCAATCCTTCCACGGAACCTGATGCATCACAGCTCAGAAAATTGCTTGAGCGACGAGCATACGAGGTGTGGATTAGTGAAATTATGCTGCAGCAAACGAGGGTTGCTGTGGTTATCGACTATTGGAACCGCTGGATGGACAAATGGCCTACAATCCAGGATCTTGCCGCCGCTGACCCAGAGGACGTATTGGCTGCCTGGCGAGGGCTGGGATATTACAGTCGAGCGACACGAATTCACGAGGCTTCCAAGTTGGTAGTGGGGGACCCGGCAATGCAAGGCTTGCTGCCATCAGCTACCAACGATCTGGAGGCCAAAGTTCCTGGGGTCGGTAGATACACAGCCGGTGCCATATCTGCAATCGTCTTTGGCCGAGCGGCCCCAATGGTGGATGGAAACGTCCTTCGCGTCTTGAGTCGTCAGCTAGGCATATACGGCAACATCAAAACGGACAAGAAAGTCATCGACGCCATCTGGGCAGCAGCTGATGCCCTCGTTCAGACTGTAGCTCTCGACCGCCCCGATCATGAAGACGAGTCAGAGGTATCCGATAGACCCGGTCGATGGGGACAAGCACTCATGGAACTAGGCAGCACGGTGTGCACGCCGAAGCCAAACTGCTCGCAATGTCCCGTCACCGCCTCATGTCGTGTGTACAACGAAGCGAAGAACACGGAGAAAAACAGAGGAACCGACATTTGTGACATTGAAGATCTCTGTACACTCTGCGAGCCACTCGAAGAGGAGACCGACAACAGCCCAGAGCCGACAGCCTTGCAAGAATCAAAACCTAACCCCAAAACAACAGACAAGAACAAAGGGCCCAAACAAATGACCCTGGCGGCATTCTCATTCACAGGAGGAAAGCCCGCCAAACAAAACGACTCCAAAAAGGAAGACTCCGGGAAGAACGGGGCCCAACAGGAAGCCATTTCCAACTACGCACGCAAATTCCCCCTGAAAACGGCCAAAAAGCCTGTCCGCGAAGAAGAAACCGTCGTCTGTGCGATCCGCCGCCCAGACGGGTCGTATCTCCTCCACCGTCGACCAGACAAGGGGCTGCTAGCAGGACTATGGGAGTTTCCAAGCAAGACGCTGCCCAGCAAGGACGATTACGCCACAACGAAGCAGCGTACGGCATTGGCCAAAGCGCACATGAAGACGTTACTGGGCGGTGTTGTATCCCCTAAGCACATGGGAGAATTGGGAAGTGTGCCGTGGTTGTTCTCGCATCTGAAGCTGACCATGCATGTGCACTTGTTCCGACTTGGGGAGAATGGTGCTGAGTGTGGAATAGGAGATCGGGCGAGATGGAGTGATAATGTGGAAGGGGAGTCTATGGGCACGGGAATGCGTAAATGCTGGGCGTTGGTGGAAGATGCGGAATGAACAGAACTACATTAACTGGCTGGAGTAGATTGCGCTGAATCAAAGTATACGCCAACAGGTAAGTATCACATGACAAATACTGGAGGTTGGTCTCCTTCTACATCCATCTCTACTGTCGTCGCTTTTGCTGAATCACAGACATGATTTGTACCATAGGATACGAGTACCAAGCTATAGTTACATCTATTTACATACCGTCTTTATCACCAAAACGGCATCCAAGTCGTGGTTTATGTACAAGTGAGCCGCCGCACACGGCGCATCAAAACCGATCCTGGACTACAAACCTACCACTCCCGGGGACCACCTGCTGATTAGCCGGCCGATCAGGATTGAACCCGACCAGGCAATTGACCGTCTCGGCCCCCTCGCCAGCGTCGTTAATGTCCTTGCCCACGGGATCTCTCCACAACCCCCGCAACTTGATATACATGTCCAGCGCATCGTTCATGGTATTGCCCATGTCGAGGGCCTTGGCAGCCCTCGAATGCGAATAATACGTCATTAAGCGCCTTGCCGAATCCCTCTCACCACTCGCAATGAGCGTCTCTGCGCTTCTCTCCACCCACTCGAGGTCCCTGGCGGACTCGCTCTCAAAGGCAGTCAGTGCATCCGTCACAAGGGGGAAGAAGAGCGCCGGCGCGCTACACATGTAGTACAGGACGCGCTTGAATATGCGCCCCGCAAACCGAGAGGCCTCTTGGAGCTGGAAGTCGGGCGCGAGGAAACTACTCGATGCGCCGGTCGTGAGGTAGCGGTGCTGGCCAAACTCGGGGGGCACAGACTGGCCCCCGAGCCACCAGGGGATGAAGGGCGATGCGACGGAGCCCGTGGGTGCGATCCAGAGCCTCAGCATGTCCGGGTCGACGCCCTCGCGCAGGGAAACGACCTGCCCGTAACCGGCCTCGTCGTCTGCGATGCGGTGATCGCGCACCCTCTCCATGAGGCCTGCCTCGGACACGGGCGCCATGGCCAGCGTCGCGTTTTCCAGAGCCGCCTGCGACATGTACTTGAAGCCTCCGTCGCGCTCCGTGTACTCGGGGCCCTGGGGGCCGTACACCTTGAAGATGTTGAAGGGCTCGCCGGAACCCGGCCTCCACCACCCTTGCTCGACGGCAAAGGTGACGATATTGTCCGAGCCCATGAAGTCGCTGCTGTTGGCAAAGTCGACGGGAAAGTCCCCAATGTACCCGGGGTACAGGGCGCGGACCTGCGAGGCGCCCAGTCTCTCGGCCGCCCAGAGCCCCCTGCCGCCGGCGAGTTCCCAAACCACCCACCCCTCGTCCTTGTCGGCAATGAGGTGCGTGTTCCCGCCGTAGGTGGCCTCGCCGTGGTCCCTGATGAGGTCCCGAATCAGCTCGACTCCCTCGCGGGCAGTGCTCGCGCGCTCCATGACCAGCCTCGCCATGTCGCTGTACTGCACGCCGCGCTGCGGAGTGGGCGTCATGCGGATCAGCTCTGCGCGGTTGGTCGCCCACACGTCCCTGACGGCGACTCCCTTCTCGTTCAGGCCGCCGTTGGTCAGGGGCGCCGGGAAGCCCATGTAGTCGGAATACTCCATGCTGAGGTACCGAAATGTGTGTTTCACCTGCGGGATGCGTATCAGCTCCCCCGGTATGTTTGCCCCCCCGGTGACGCCAACCGTGACGGTTTCATTCGGGGCGTGGTCCGCCGCAGGGAACAGCTGCAGCCAGTGGCTCGACACCTCCTCGCCCGTGCCGCCGACGAGAACGCTCCCGTCCCGCGTGAGGTTCTTGCCAACGTAGAAGGCGTAGCTGGCCAGGGTTCGCGGGACAAGCACCGCCAGGGCGACGAGGGGCTTCATGATGCCGAATTTGCACCGAGTCGGCGTACGTGATGAGAATCCGTGGTGGTCGTGTATCGCATCTAGGGGGTGGCTTGCTGCACAATGGTGGCGTGCGATTTACCCTTTTTTTTTTTCTTTTTGGGTCTTGAGGGCCTGCTTATATTTAGGTTTTCTGGCTGGCCTTGGACTCATTATGTAAACTGCGTTTTTGCACTGCCCGAGGCGAATCGAGGCGGATGATCTGATCACCAGACTGTCGCTCGTGCGTATGCCCAGCTGACTCGGCCTCGTAGTCGATCCGAGTTATCGCTCTTGCCAGATTAGGTTTGGTACGGTGGGGCAACAACACATGCTGAATCATGAAAGGCTACAGGCACTTGGGGGTGAAGAGGACGATGCAAGGTGAGATGTAGATTAGAAAGGCAGTCAGTGACCTTGAATGAACACAAAGCCAACTATGGATAACATATAATCCTTCTTTGTAAATACCACGATTGACTTTAAAGTGATCAACACCGCTGTTGGAGTGGTACGTCTCTTTATTCAGGGGTGATGTGCACTGAATGTGGGGGATCTGATCCAACACCGCGTTTCGCACTTTATTCAAGCCTCGTCGCATCTACTTCGCACTGTAACCCCTATTTAGTGTCGCATCGCAAACAACAACGCATCTCTATTGCAAGGAAATAGCACATGGCATAATTCGACAGGGCCAAATGTGAAAATAATTCGCGCTTTGGAATAGTTTTCTAAAATTGCATTGATGGTCTTTGTCACGATTTAGCAGGTACAGCCCCCATTAAACAGCACTTGGTCATTGATTAAGTCTATTCGCCAGGTAATTAGCCCCTTTTCCTACAGTAAGAGCAATGTGTCGCACTGAGCTGCTCTTTCTATTGTTAGATTTGCCTTTTTTTAGGTCAGCTTCATCACGTGGTCGTCTTATTCCGACTCAGTGGTAACTCTGGCCTGTGGCGCAAGGCGTTCCGGCGATACCGAATGATGGCAGACTTTTTCAGAGACATTGCACAATAAGGCTACACAATTATAAAGGAAGGTACCACGAGAGCCCGTGGTCAGACTTTGGCGGGGCTGCCTCAGGCCGCCAGGGCTCACCGACTTCTTGTATTTAAAGAGACCAGACCTCTTAACAGACCAAGGACCTTTAATACCTGAAAGTTGGTTATGAAATGGAATTTTGAACTAAACATCTCAAGCTTGGTAACCCTACTATTATTACAGTGCCCATGCCTGAAATTTCTGTCGTATTAGATATAGGTGTATTGGCAGAAATCATACGTTTCAAAAGCCAGGTATCTTGAAAATCAAGGCAAGACTATACTATGCTAAGCGTTCGAATATATAATCGGGGAACAAGCTTGGCCTTCTCTATGGCATCTTGTGACCTGTCAGAGGCTAAGGAGAGAAAGAGTGACAGAGCCAATATATGCACACTTACAAGCCAGATACTGGTAATGTTTTCCGTGGCTAATTATTACAAATCTTTTTGTTTTATTCTCTAAAAGTTAAACCTGATATGTGCACTTTCGGACTTAAAGTTACTCTGCTAAATCTATTTACGAAGATCTGCCAATAAGCGAAGGGACTGGTGTTCACGACAGGTTCCAGTCTATTTCTAAGTTGATAAATAAATCTCTCCCAACTGCTCTTTGATTCTCCCCCATCACGCTGCAATTTTCATCGAGTATTATACTACATACAATTCAAACCCTGAATGTGTAGCCAGGTGTGGCGTAGCAGGGAATGTTAAAGCCAATAAGAGATAACTATTACAGGGAGCATACAAGTGGTAGGAGGTACCTAATAACGCGATTAAATCTCTTATTAATAAAGCCACTACTATAAGAGCTATTACTCCCATGTGATCTAACCTGTATTATAGTCAGTAACCACCAACATAAAGATAAATACTTGTTGTTACACGGAAAAGGCCCAACAGATCGTGAAGCCCAACAAAGAGGCTTCGCCGAGACGGGACTTGTTAGTTACACAGCTTAAACACGTACCCAGGCAAGAGCCCTAGGCACGAGCGTTCCTTTCATGTATATATAGTAGTCACCCTCTCTTCCTTCCCCCAAGCCCTTAGTTAAGCCCTTGACACACTCGTACTAGCACGCAAGTCCCTGTATACAGCCCCCATAACCTCCCATCAGGTCCCTTGAGAGTCATGACTAAACTTGCAGGGTCTGAATTGTAATGGCAATAGCTTCACAACCCGGAAACCCTTGCGTCTCTACGGTACTTGGAATAATTCCTAATTCAAGTCATATTTAGCCCACATAGACTCCCGGTCATGCACCCAGTTATGCACCCCAATTCGCTGTAGGGTCGGCCTCGTCAATCCGCACTGCGACACGTGAAACCTCGCTCCGACTGGAGCGGCCACGAGACAAATGCCATGTTGAACGCCAGGGGGGTTGCCGAATGATCTATGTAGCCTGTTACGAATTCACCTTGCCGGTGACGATTATTGAAACTGCACTTGCCGCTAAGCATGGTTGACCCGACAGCTCTGCTGCATCTTCACCGCACGTTCTTGGATCCTCGAGGCACAGACAGTAGAAAGATCTGAGCTCATGGCACGAGACGTCGTCATCCTGGATACGAACGCGGCGCGGAGCACAAGTGCCACCGCTCCGAATCACGTACTAGCGCGTTCATGTCTATATCGCACAAGGTCCAGGGTTTGATTATCCCCCTTATTAGCCGTTTTGTGATGCCGACATCTCCGACGGACAGCAAGGGGCTTCAAATGGAGGAAAACATGTCAAACAGTCTATTTACACCTGCTGACATGTCGACGTTGTGAAGATGTGAAAGCACTATATTCGAAAGACTGGAAGCAACAACTTGGTACAACACATTAGCCGCGCTTCCGCTTCACCCGCAACTCAGACTGTACTAATAGCGACGCCCAGTATCCTCCCTTTCGTTCTAGTAAATGTATTGAATGGGGGCATAGAATACACTGTTCTGATTTAGGAAGCTGGCGAGAATATCGCACGACCCAAGCCGCAGCATTAGTAGCCTCGATATCGAGCGTATAGTATGCTGTCCTGTTTCCTAGTGTAGCAAGTTGAGCAAAGAATATCGTACGAGTCGACACGAGAGCCCAGGAGGCCTGGCAGCGCGCGGCTTTCACTTGATCCTATTACAGAAGAGGATCGTGAGACGCTCGCATGGACCTTGGTCCCCGTTCCCCATGCTGTGTCAGCCCAAGACCCGGAATTCAAGCAGTCTGTATGCCAGAGTCATCATACACATCGTACAATATCACCAGGGGCATGCTAGTCAAGAGAATTCGGTAAGTTGCTGCACTATATAAAGACAGTCTCTTTGCCATTGAGTTTGTAGATGGATCAGATTCGCCCGTCGGATAAATCAAGTGTAAATATCCAAAGCTCACACACCATGGCCATTCTGAAAATCTTGCTGCCATCATCGCCACGCTCTCGCTGGGTGCGGCCGCTCCTGCACAAGACAACGCTCCTCGCCCCTGGAGGATGTATACATCGTCACCCTCAAGCAGGGCATTTCCTCCCACCATGTCGAGTCCCACGTTAACTGGGCGCGCGCCATGCACGATGCTAGCCTAGGCCGCCGCGCCCTTGATTTACCTCGCGTCGAGAAGACAAACGATCTCGGTACCTTTCACGTATAATCGAGGTCCTTTGTCCAAGACACTATTCGTAAAATCACGGATAGCCCAGGGGTACATTCCACAGCACGAATGATCAATACCACACAAGAAAGCTTGCTCCGGTCGTCTGTAGATAGTAGCCGTCGGGCACTACGCATAGCTGATCCCATTGGCATTGGCAGCCCAAAATAAACCCCCCGTGGGCTCTAAGCACCATGTCCAGCCGGACTCCGGGCCTCAAGCCGTATCGGTATGACGAGACCGCCGGCAAGGACACGTTTGCCTACGTAATCGATTCAGGCATCCACGCCAACCACGCGGAATTCGGGGGGGGGGGCGGGCTGCCCTCGGCTTCAATGCCGACGGCCCCAGCGTCGACATCTTTGCTCCCGGCGTGGACGTCATGTCGAGTGATACGGGCTCTGGCAAGGCCACAAGACTCGTGTCGGACACCTCGCTCGCTGCTCTTCATATTGCCGGACTGGCACTTTACTTGATAGCTACCAAGACGGCCGCCAAACTTTGGGCCAGGATCTTGGCTCTTGCGACCAAGGATAAGATCGCGAACCTCCCCGCTGAAACGTGCAGCCTGCTTGCGTACAATGGGGCTGAGCAGGCCGTTTCCGCGGGACGCGGGCTCGGGTCCTCGTGACGCATGTCGAGTGATGTTGCATAGGCGCTTGTCGACAAGGAGGAGGGAGAATTCGCAAGAGTCCAAAATACGCCTTTTGCATCCTATTTGCGAGATGGGTATCAAATCAAGAAGCTACACGATTCCTCGGTAGAGAAGCTCGGGTCATAATGATGTAGACTAGAAAATAAACCGTTTGTACTCATCTTGTTGGTAGAATACCGAGTTCGCGAGAGCAATGTGCACATTTCATCCACACCTCTCTATGAGAGCAGCACGTATTCGATGGTAAATAATAGCAGGCAATGCGTCGCATGGAAACTCGATGCAGGGCAGACATGGATAGTGCCTCGCACGGTGTCAAGCCACTACTCAACCAAGACGGCACTTGGCCAGATAATTCATCCTTAGGCAAAGGCTGCATGCGGGTGACTCCATTTCCCCGCGATATCCCACGCCCAGAGATTAGGCTAATGCAGATCAAACGGACAAAAATCGGGGACTGTACGGCAGGGGCTTGTTGAGGATGGTTGACGGTGGCATATCATGGCTGTTGATGTTTCTGTTAGTCATATTATCTCCGCGGTCTCCTCCCACCCCGAAAGCCGCCTCCTCCGTATATTGAATCAAGGCTGGAAGCATAGCCTACAACGAGGCGTGTCTTTGTCTTCCGTCGGCCCCGGGGGGTTGCCGCGTCCCGACAACTCGGCACATGCGGCTAGTACATGAGTTGATCTACGCCCGCCGTACGGAGTAGACCAGCGGCCAACCCCGACACAAAGCCGAGACACGGCCACGCCGGCATTTGCTTGAGTTTCTTCAGCCGGGGCGGCGCCATGTCGACGAAGCCTCATGGTAGGTTGCAATGCGCATGCTTGTATCGGTGGCAAACCTGTACTCTGCTTGTCCCTATAGTTTACTTGGCGAGACAGCAAGGCTGTGAAACGTGGTCCATAAACTGAGTCGTAGTTTTGATCCAATGCTCTAAGAAAAGGACCCTCGGTTTAATGGGGACAAGCAGAATAGGGAATCCGGATTATGCTTATTTTCTGACAGGCAAGCTCATTTTGGTTGCTGGCTGGGGAATCGACCAGGCGCGCTAGTACACGACTCTCATACATGGTGAACGTAGCTTTACTTTCCCGGCATGTTGCATCCATTCGCTGCAAATCTTGGTATTCGACCCATGTACCGAGTGTCGTCCCGTCTGGTTCAGATAGAGTGGCCCAGTGAGGACACCGAGCCCTTTGGCGTTGAAGATAGTGGGTTAGTCTCGGACATAGCTTGTGCTCGAAACTCTGGACAATGCTCTTGTTTGCGCCATGAATCTTGTCCCCAAGTGGGGCGGCGAAGCAGTTGACCCCTTTGCTCTCCCCCTTTTGCCCGACCTGGAGTAGTAACTGAAAACCTCGCAAGACTCTTTTGATCGGTCACAGTTGCACAAACAGTGCAGACAAACAACCTGGCACTTTTCTCGACCAATTTGAACCGCGCACTCTCCGGACACCTCCCTAGGAATCCCTGTAGGGCACACACCGGGGCCTTGAAGCTTGTTGCCACCTCCACAGATTTCATTGCCGTCGAAAATCCCCCATCCCGCACAATGAGTGGCTTGGACCATCCCGACATCGCTGCTGCATATGATGCCGTTCGCAGTGACAAAGATGAAGCCAACTGGATGCTCATCTCATATGCGGCAGCAACCGGGAACAAATTGTCGCTGAGTAAGACCGGCACGGGAGGCATTGCCGAACTGGCCGCTTCTCTGGACGATGCCCAGGTTCAGTATGGTTATGTACGTGTTCAGTACGCCAACGACGCCGAGAGCACACGCGTCAAGTTTGTCCTGGTTGTCTGGATTGGCGAAAACACCAAAGTGATGCGCAAGGCACGGGTCAGCGTCGAGAGCGGCGACGTCAAACGCATTCTGTCCCATCACAGCATCGCCATTACCGCCAGTGACCGCTCTGAGCTGGAGGAGAAGGATGTGGTTGCGAAACTGCGCAAGGCTGGCGGTGCCGACTACAACGGAGGCCGAGGCTGAGTGGACAGCGCACCACATATCAATTCACCATACGGAGTAGTACTGAGTAAAAAGCGCGCATGTCGTACAGCAATCAATGCCTGGCGAGGTAAAATTGGCCGACATGGGGACGCTTGTTGGGTTTCGTGTTTGCGTGGTTTCCGTAGCAGAGCGAGTCAGTTCAAAGTTGACGGGCTGGGAAATGCCTGTAGACGACGACCACCGTCGGTCAGATTAGCAATACATACAATAAAAGCATGGTTCAATTTGAGCTCGTCTTATTGCCCAGTTACTTTTAGTTGGTTTGGCTAGGTTGAGGTTGCTTCGCAGCTATTCGCCGTCCAAGCATGCGGGAAGAAATGCTACCCAAGATCTTCAGGGTCTCAAGCCAGCCAAGTTACTAGCGAGCAACATTGTCTCGGGCTGTCTGCCCCAGCAGGCTGCCCAAGATTACTGTAGTACCAGGTACAGTACGGAGTAGGCTTGCATTGACGCCAATCAGTTTGGTGCACGGCGGGCAAAGCCACCAGCCCACAAACAAACGTGTTGTACGGTGGCTACATTCCAGAACTTTTGAGCATCCCTGCTCAACGTGACACTCTAATAATCGGAGCGATGCAAGCCACCAGGAGGGGGCACCTGTCAGGGTGCGACGCGATAGCCAGAGAACGGGTGCCTCATTTCGCTCCTCGTGTACAGAGTAGTTTGCATGTGTTCGTTCGTTGTTTGGGCTCCGCCCACATGCGACCTTGGTGAGAATTGTGCGTAGTACTTAGCATGCCTTGACAAAGACTTCCTGCGTCTTGGCCACCTCCAAGCATCCGTTATGCACTGATGTTTCATGGCATAGAGACGGACACGATGATTATTTAAGCTCTGCGTCCCAGGATCAATCGTCGCGTCCATTGAATGCGCCAGTCGGTGAGCTTTCCTCGGCTCGATCCGTGATTCCGAAAAGTATGGCCCCAGGCGCTTTTATACTCCGTCGCTTGGGCCATGGCGCTTGGTGCTTAGGTGTATTATTCCTCAGACTCTTTGCATGAGAATATTGTCAAATTTCAACGTCTCAGTGACACGACAGGCCCTTGACCTCCTCCCACACATGTCCTTCCTCTGCGGCTTGTCTCGGAGCTGGACACTGGCTTTGACGATAGGCGAATGGGAGGGGCTGGATCGGAAAATCCTCCAGACCCAGAGTGACGTCGTTGTGGTTCCCCTGCCAAGTGATGCTCATTGAATGAGCCCACAGTTAAATCTTCAAACAGTCCAGAGACCCGTTCTGCTGAGTCTCGGCAAGGCTCTCGTTGGCCATGTCCCCAAACTATGGCTCCCAGACTCCATTGTTGAACTCCTCCTAGTTGCATGCCTCTCCACAGCCCGCCTCTTGCGGTGGAGAAGTTCATGGCTGTGCGAGGATTCATCTTTAATTCTCGCGTGCGCTGTTGTCCATGTGGGCATTTCATGTTTCTCACAAGGGACATGAACTGGCACGGCTCACAGGACAAAAGACAGGAAGCAACGCCTCAAAGCGAGCCACCCTTGGAGGTTGTTCATGCATCAGTAATTGCGTTGGGTGATCCATGTCATAACCAAGCTACGTTCCATGTAGCGTAATATTCAACCTTGCACCTCTAGTGGGTGTCCGTAGTAGCAGATGTAGCCAACCGCCTGGCGAATGCCATATTTTCAAAACGTTCTGTTCTCCCCGCCATGCGCTTGAAATCATTTGGGGCCTTGACAATCAACTCAGCTGTCGGGAAGAGGCGGGAGCTTAAAGTGTAGGCAGGCTCAAAGTATACCGCCACGAATGTGTTTGAAAAAGACATTCTGGCGAGCGAGCCGAAAGAATGTTTGGACGAGGATACAGGCATTTCGCCCCAAATTCGGCATTATGCTTCGCTGTAGCAGTCGTCAGTTACGATATCTCATCCAGTCAGGAGTCCAGAGGCGCTACCGTTGTCTGTGTTCCCTGTCGATAGCTCCATAAATGTCAACGCCTCCTGGATGCCCCCATGTTTAAAAGTGTTGTCCAGTCCTGGCAGTCACTTCCCACAATTTGTGATCTCCACCAGGGCGCTGGGATTGCCAAAGTGTTGGCTGACCGTCGACACGAGTAAGACGCCAATGTCAATGGCTCCCTCCAGCAGTGGAAGCGGACAAGGGGATTGTAGCAATGGCATCGCATGCCAGCGTCCACGACCACCATGTGGCCCACAGCCGTTGCTGATCACTGGCGGGATACAACTAACAGGTGTGAGCAAAATACTTCGGAGGAACATGCCTTGTTGGACAGAGCACCCGTGGCCTGGCGCGGGCTGCAATGCCACCGTCTGGCCTCGTGCGATGCAAGAGTTGGGTCGGCATCACGGAACAGGAATTCATGAAGTGCGAGAGGCTGCTGGTGGTGTGGCTTGTGGCTCTTGTGCCGTCTCAGTGTCAGAATGTCCTCAAAACTGATGGTCGGGCGCTCCTTCCTCGTCGCCTGGCAGGGCGCCCAGATGTCTGCAACCCCGCGGTCCACCATCGCGCCTTCCGCCCGCCACCAAGAGTCCAATGTGCAGATGGCTTGGGACGTGAACTGCTTCGCAGAGTCTCGAAGGCTTCGTCTTCGTCAACCACGTACACCACCCTCGGGAGCACGCGACCTCTCGCTTCGCCCAGCCAGAGGTCCTGCGCGCAACATTATCTCACAGCCGCACTACGCCGCTATCCCGGCGCCGGATTGGACGATTGGCAGCAGTCCTGGCCATCTGGCGCGCGGGGCTAGCCGCATTAATCCAACCCTCGCCCACGCCGACCGGGGCTGCCATCAATCGTCGCCACAAGAAAGAAGATTGCGGCCCTTGACCTCAGCTTTCGTTTTCAGTCAGTCGTGCAATCGATCTAACGTCCCCATCCGCAGGCCCTGCAAGCACCCCAGTCAAGCCGAACCATTGAAACCGGGCTGGGATGCTTGGCTTCTTCAAGACAAGAGCCACCTCCAATATTTGGCTTTGGTGGTGTTTAGCTCCACCATGTTTATATCGCCGAACCGCCGCCTGAGCTTTCCTTCGAGTTCCCTTCTCTCCTCCACCTGCTCCTCCATGCCTTATATCAAGACGCCCTTTGTCCCTTGTTTTTGAGCGTTCGCCTTGGGTCCTTTGGGCGCAATAGCTTCACTCCCTTCCGTTGCTTGTTCTGTTTTTTTGGCGTCTGGTCTCCTCCCCGCCCATCTCCCGCTTGCACCTGGTGTCGCATCGGCCCATCGCATCGCGAAACTCGACCATCTTGATCCCTTTGACAGCCAACACCCAACCGATTGCCCCGCCAAAACTGCTCTCGCCATGACGCTCACCAAGCGGGACTCGCACGGCAGTCCGTCCGACGTCGACAACAAGGCCGACCAGCATCTGCGCCTTTCGCACGAGAATGACTCTGCCGACCAGATCCTCGAGAACCTCGGGTACAAGCCCGAGTTGTCGCGAAACCGATCGACTTTCCAGGTTGCCTTCATGTCCTTTGTGCTGGCTTCAATTCCCTACGGTCTCGCAACCACCCTTGTCTACCCCATAACCGGCGGCGGTCCCGTCGACATCATCTGGGGCTGGGTTGCTGTCTCGGCCATTATTGTCTGCGTCGCCGCGTCTCTGGGTGAAATCACCAGTGTCTACCCTACCGCCGGAGGTGTCTACTACCAGGCTTTTATGCTTGCGCCCGCTAAATGGCGTAGGATTGCTAGTTGGATCTGCGGCTGGGCATACCTGGTCGGCAACATCACCATTACCCTGGCCGTCAACTTTGGTACCACTCTGTTCTTCGTCTCGTGCGTCAACGTCTTTGCCCAAGACGACGACCACCCGGTTCTGGAGGGCAAGCCTTACCAAGTCTTCCTCATCTTCCTCGGCATCACTCTTCTGTGCAACGCCGTCTCTGCCCTCGGCAACAAGTGGCTTCCCTGGATTGATGTAAGTAGACCGTCAAAGAGCATAGGTGCCAACCATTGTCCCAGTACCGCGCTAATATGCCATTGCTGCCAGACTGCCGCCATCTTCTGGACCTTTGCCGGTGTCATTGCCATCATGGTCTGCGTGCTTGCCATTGCCAAGAATGGTCGCCACGATGCCAAATGGGTCTTCACCTACTTTGAGAACAACTCGGGTTGGCCCGACGGGTGGTCATACATGGTTGGTCTATTGCATGCAGGATATGCGACCTCTTCAACCGGAATGATTATCTCGTGAGAACTGCCCCTGCCCGTGACTCCTTTACCCCATTTCCTTCCGCTGACTTGTTTGTGCAGCATGTGTGAAGAAGTCCAGCACCCTGCGACTCAGGTTCCCAAGGCCATGGTTGCCACCATTGGCATCAACACTGTTGCCGGCTTGCTCTTCCTCATCCCGCTCGTCTTTGTCCTCCCCGATCTCACCATGCTCGCCAGCCTTGCCTCTGGTCAACCCGTGCCCCCTATTATCAAGTCTGCCATTGGAAACTCTGGCGGTGCTTTTGGACTCTTGTTCCCAATCATGGTGCTTGCTCTCATTTGTGGCATCGGCTGCACGACTGCCTCTTCCCGCTGCGCCTGGGCGTTTTCCCGTGACGGTGCCGTGCCCGGATCCAAGATCTGGATGAAGGTCAACCACACTCTCGATGTCCCTCTGAACGCCATGATGCTCTGCATGATTGTTGAGATTGTGCTTGGTCTGATCTACTTTGGATCCTCGGCCGCCTTCAATGCCTTCTCGGGTGTTGGTGTCATTTCGCTTACTGCCTCGTACGCCTGCCCAATCGTCATTAGCCTGCTGGATGGTCGCAAGGCCGTCAAGGCGGCCAAGTTCTCGCTGGGCAGATTCGGATACGCTGCCAACATTATTGCTATTTGTAAGTCGTCGCCGTTCATCGTGGCCTGTTTCCGCCTCTGGGAAATGTCCATGCTAATCCTGCATCGTGTAGCTTGGTCCGCCCTTGCGCTTCCGCTCTTCTGCATGCCCTCGGCTATCCCCGTCCAAGCCACCACTGTCAACTACGCTCCTGCAGTATTCGTCGCGGCCGTTGCCATCTCAGGTATCTGGTACTGGGTCTGGGGTCACAAGAACTACGCCGGTCCCCCTGTACATGGCGAGTAAGAAACCCCGCGTTTAGGGGCTGGTTGTTTTGTCCAGAATAGAAATACAGTTGGATTTTTTTCAAGGAATTCACGTGGTATAACTCCGTATAAGATGCTCATTTGAGTGAGCGCAATGTAAAGTGATGTCATGCAAGACTGACAATGGTCTTACTCAGAGCTCCTATCCATATGGGTTCAACTCTTGGTCCCGTGTCGCCAGGCCTAAGAGATATTTTGCCACAATGAGACCTTGCCCACGCCAGCCTTTGCACCAAAGCCTTCCTCCTAGATCCAAGGGCAGGATATGCCTGATTTCTGAAACGGGGCAAATGTAACTACTCTATTTTAATCTAGGTCGAAAGCTCCTACCTGGCGGTATTTCTGCCTATGCGTCGAGAGATGCGGCAGAAGCACACCGCAGTTTTCTCTAACAGCAGCCGTGGGAACATCTGGCCCGGCTTCACCTAGTCCAAGGCGCAACCGGCAGACACGGCATCCCAGCAACTTCCAGCAACCAGCCCAAGGCCGTCTGGGTCGAAAACAAGTGTACAACTGTACTCCCTGGGAACGGTAACGCCAACTCATCTACAAACGACGACGCCGATGCTCGAGACACAAAACAAAGTTAGTTGGTTGGATTTGTCGTTTGGCCACCTCCAACGAGTATCTATGAGTGCTGCGAATCAGCTCGCTCCAGCTAGCTATGCTATTTGAACAGGGCCGCGTGCGCCAGTCGCAGAAGATTGCAAACGAAAGCATTTATGGCGACATGATTGAGTATAGTTCTCTGAAAGGGGTGCTTCAACCTCGAGCTATTTACAAAAGAGTATTTTGCCAGCCTGAAAGAAACAGATTATTATTACGAAGCGAGTTATTCCCATGCCCTGCTCCCTAGGTATCATGATGATTTGACGGTAGTTGAAATGGTTATCATCAAAACAGGAGAGGAAACCGCAACAAGCCTTTGATCCATTTCGTCTTCTCATCTTACTTACACCAAAACCTCCAAGAAAGGCCCTCACAGACGCGGATAGGATTCCCTCCCCTACACTATCCTTTCCCGGGAAGCCTCCACCCCCCAATACATTACTCGCTGCCTGGTAACCAAATCTCCTTGAGGGGTTGGAAATTCAACCCGTCCGCTCTTTCTTTGCTAGGAAGTTGTCGCCACGGTCAGCTTTTCGTCTTCCGCTGGCACGCACACCTGTCATATCGGCGACCAGGACTATCTCGCGGGTGCAGAGCGTTCCGTACGTCACGGGGAGTTTGGCGCTGTGGCAGTACAAGATTCCATTTTGCGGCGACTTGCCGTCGATTGAGACCAGGCCAATTAGACTGCCCAAGAGCGATACGAGTCCTCTGAGAAAGAGAGGTGAGTCATTAGGATATGTAAACATTGGGCGTTGCCGCTGTCGATAATTTCTTCGTTGTTGATGTGGCAGTCGCAAATGCGGTACTTGGTACTTACTATGCCGACGACGCTCGCGATGAGACCAAGTGAGCCATGTGTGCCTAGATAGTTGGCGAGTATAACATAATCTTCAGGGACGAGGTATTTCTACTATTACTGTTTACTTGGATACTATATGGATGCCGTCTCGTGTTCACAACAACTTGTATTCCAATTTCCAACTCGGGCTGCAGGGTTCACTTAACTAGGATAAATGCCCAGCAGCAGTGCGCAACGGTGAATCGCCCGCCATACTTGGGGTGCTCTCGATGAGATCGAGGGGGAGAAATGGGAATGGTTCACGAATCCCGGCGCCAAGCCCAAGAAAAATCAGGCTACGTCGGACCAAAGCTAGGCCAGACCCTTGACGGCTGTGTCTTGTTTCGACGACACGGCAGAGATAGAAGGCCTCTGGCAGCTACTAGTTTATGTACGGCAGAGGTGTTGTGGCGGGAAATGGTAAATGCTGTTTCCAGCCAGCCTGTGACACGAATTCCCAAGTTTACAAGAGTGTACTTGTCAATACGAGCCGAAAGGTAAATTTGAAATTAATACTCGGTAGCCATATGGAATACATTCATGGTGGCATACTTTCACGTGCCATCCAGCAGCTGATCAAGGTGAAGCGTGACTACAAGACAACCCCAGCCCCGAGCTGGGCAGCTCGACATGGACCTCGCTCTTCAACATTCAAGATTTACCAAGACGCGCTGTGCCTCAAATCATGTGCACATGCTCTGTGTGTTCCGACGCCAACTAGAGAACGCGAATCATGGCATACACGTCAAAACGCGGGAGCATGGGCAAGGGCTACCGGCCCTGGATGTCGAAACGAGTATCAAGTCTGGAAGCATAATAGAGCCTGGGGACAAGATTCACAACATGGGCCGGTCCAAGACAGCGCGAGGCGATACACAAGGCCATAGAGGACAAACATCAGAGGAATCGGATCAACCTCCCCGCACGTCGTCTCAAAATGGTAGACAGGTCCGAAAACGCCGAGAAGCCACCAGACAAACACAGGATAGCATCGACAGTGAGCCAAATGCCATTCTTATATACACAGATGGAGGCAGCGTCAACAGCCGCGAGGGCACTGCAGCAGTATGTACCGCCAACCAGACCCAGAGAGCCTATGTGTGACAACGCTGCATCGGATCTGTCCAACGCCAATGTTAATCTTCCAAGACAAGTGCGATTGAGGAACTGGCCACGTTTGGGATATCCACACCCTGTTAGACTACGCGGCCAAGGCGTGGGGGGCTTACTTCCGCGAGGCTGACATCGTCGTCTCTCCAAGACTATGCGACCTGGATGATAAGAGAGAGCCATTCGGTTCGGTCTAAATTGACTCGAGTGCCACAGGCATGAAGCGGCCGTGGGCTCCCAAAACGGCTTTCCTGGTCACGCTTCTTTCAAGAGAAGCCAGAGACCAACAAAAATGGCAGATATACTTTTCGCCGTGGTAAACCCTTTCCCAGGGGCGGCAGCCGGTGCGTGGATATGACGAGGCGACCCGTTGAACTCGAGTGTTTGCATGGTGAAGCACCCGTGGATACCCATCTAATCTGCATCGGCAGTAGCAACGATCGATGAACCTTCCTTTTTGCATCGATTTAGAGCTATGTCCAGGGCTCTTCATATCAGTATAATAGGTAAGAACTAGCTACCTGAGGTTGTTGCCCAGTACTCTTCGCCCTAGTTACAAGGACACTCGTTGGACGCGCTGCCAAAAGGAGGGTTAGAGCTTTCAATAATAGAGCCATCTCTATAACAACTGCGATATGAAGCCGGCGGGGACATGGCCATTTTGGCACAAATAGCCAGCAAAGATGGGCCATTGAGAACTGCTGAGATTTGCAGGCCAGACCACTACCCTAGAGATTTTCTCGTCTGCGTCCGTGTTGAAGCCATTTTGCCTCGACAACGTATGCTACCACGCCTGCCAAGGATCAGCCGGCCGTCATGATGAAAAGAAGGGTTCCATTTCCAGCCAAAATCCTTCATTTGCCGTGTACCCGACCAAGGGCAAAAGTAGACGTATACGAGGCAGTTGATCTTCGGCCACGTACAGCCCACCCCGTCTTGTCATACTGGCATTAACCTGCATACGGCGAGCAAGGGATGGACGCGAGAAACGAATGAAATGGGGAGGCGGTCGTTATCTGTTGAGGGGGAGACAACAACAAGACCGCGGCAGATGTGAGTTGTTGCAGCTAGCCGACATTGTACAACTCGTTGCTTCATGTACCCCATATCCGCCACCACAGCATTTGCATGTGCTTCTCCCAGGTTCGTATGCAACGGCGGTTGGACGCTGGCCGCTTTTTTCTCAACCCCATGCGAGCTTCAAACAAGGGCACTCAAGGGTTGGGGCAGGCTGAGGCTACTATGTAAGGCTTCACCACCGCCCAGAGGCACGATGCCTGGCACTGGCACCATTCGTCAGGCGGTCCAAGTCAGTCACCGGGAAGCGATAAGTAACCGCAGCTTGAAAGAGCAAAGTCCGGCCGGATGCTACTGCGGCACAGCTGCCACAAAAAATCCATTAGCGTCGTAGCCGGCGGTCGTTAGAATTCAGCCACACTGACATTGTCGGACGATGCCCATACTGAAGGCGGAGATATAGTGTCCGTGGCTGTTTTGCACGTCCTTTTTTCCCCTTACCCCTCAAGCTTTGCCAAGAATGTTCAAGCCTGTGTAGCGATGCCAAACTGCTTTTATGGTTCATGTAAGAGGGACGCGATTCTTCTGTTTTTAGGCTTGAACTGAGGAGTTATCCAGGCCGTTGTTTGCTTGTACAGCAGAAGGACTATATATGGAGTTGTGAACTGCATCCATGAGAAGCTTAGCTCAGCGGCACACCAGCTACCTAGGTAGACAGATGTTCGTGCCGTGTCAATTGATATGACCCCGACCTACCCGGGAGGGTAATGCTCTGCAGCAAGGGAGGATTCCAGGGGGTTTGTCCGTTTGCAGCGGGCTACACATGGCCATGGAAGAGAGGCAATGTTCCATTCTCTGCGCCATGGTGCAGCCACATTGAGCCCAGACATAACCAAACAGGCATGATGCACAAGACCAAACTGTTGCTTGGTTGAGTTGCATTGTTGGGGCACCATCAGGTTTGGAGCTGCGAGATTTCTTGACCGGCCGAGAAATTCGCCACCTTCAACACCACGACGACCAACGTGCCCCAGATTCGAGCCTTGTCAAACTCCAGGAAGACCCTTGTGGCGCACAACACACCAAGGTGATTGACTTCCCAAGGGTCCATGGGAAAGTAATACAACGCTTTTGACCAAGGTCGCCAGGGCATACGTTGAACGGTTTCCCGGCGATACAGTTGACGCGCATCAATTCGTGTTTCGTAACCCGCCACCCGTCAATGCAAGACAAGTGCTACAGAACTAGGCATGCTGCTGCCCACCAAAATATCCCGACTTGCTCGACTTGAACAGTTGGAGAGGACCGAATCGATGTCAAAAAAGCACAATTTGCGCTTTGTTGACGAGCTGAGGAAAATGGCGTCCACCTCGCGGGAGCCGGGACCGCACTATTTTAGCTTCAACTTGTTCGCGATGCCGCCCGCGCCAACCACGGAAGTCTCCTAGCGGCATGCCAATCTCTGTTGCTGCCATGGTTGTTGCATCTTGGCTGGGAGGCATTGGCTGCTGTGCTCCGTGTATCACCGAGTTGGCAACGCAGCATGTCTTCATGGCAATGCTTGTAACCAGCATCCTCGCACCTGCACGGCATGCCGAGTACCCTCAACGGCCTTCAACGACATCTCCTACCCAGAATAGCATCGAGTCTCGAAACCGCATGCAGTCCCTGGCTTTCATTGACATCCCGGCAAGTCGCCACCGAGGGCGCCGGCGGTGGGTACCAAAATGCGTTGCCACTTCTCTGATGAGTTTTGCACCTAGTTTGTAGTTGCAGTTCGAGTTTTTCCCCCAACCACTTCTTTGCACGGCCCGCAAGATGGGTTGACATGAGCCCATTCCCCAGGAAGAAGCCGAGCGCGCAACGACCAGGAGAGTTTTCAGAACCATCATGCCCCTGTTCAACACGGCGGTTGGAACTTGGGAGCCATTCGTCTCTGTCACATCCACCGTCGCGGAGCCGGCCTTCCAGATGTTACTCATCAAGTAGCACTGAATGTTTGAGCTCACCGACCACAGCCATGTCCATCCGCTAGGTTAGCACAGTAACCCCTTGGCTGATTTGCTCGTTGTGCTTCAAGTGTTTGAACTGACGTTGCTCCTCCCCCGCTCCCCCATGCCCCATCCTGTGACCGTGGAAGCCTGTGGAGATGTTACTTGCATTATCACAGCCTTCCGCCAACGCTTCCAACTGCGAGCACTTAGTAGGGCTTAAGTTGTTAGTCTATGTACTAGTATCCCTTTTTCAACATTGACTCAACCCCTGCCCTATCAGTGGCTGACGCTCCACCTCAGCAACGGCCCATTAGATCAAGGTAACCCTGACCCATGACAGGGGGTGTCTGTTCTTATCTCTGGCCCGACCTTCTCAGTTGAAGGCGAACAAAGTTGGCCGAATCTGGACACGGCCGGGTCGCGGACCACATCGTCAAGTTGAAGGACGACGAACTGACAGCTGTGTAGCATGTATTGAATGCCATTTACATAAGAAAAGCCAGCTCCTGGTAGATAAAGCACAGCCGAAATTTTTTCAAAAGGTGCGTGATGAATACCTATCATGCCCTGCAATCACACCTTGATGGACATTGATTCCTAGCAAGCAAGCTTTGTTATCATCCGCCTAGAAATAGTAGCACGAGTTTTGCCAGAGACCGTGGTGACCATATCGACCTGTGCGTTGACCAAGTTGCGTGATTGTCAATTTGCGATACTCCATGTGGTCATTTTTATCTTGCCAAAATGTTGGCGATGAAAAATCCAATGCTGCAAAGCTTACCAATTTGAACGCCTAATTGCTCTGCATCCTCCCTCTAAAACCAAATTCGTGCGCTTCGGTGCTTCATCGATGAGGCCCCTGCATTTTACCATGAAATGACATCGAGATTTTGAAGAACATGCATAAGCACGCGGCCCACCTTAGCAATATTGTCCAGACAAGAACAGGCATGGGAGGCGAGGCAATGGGCCTTTTAGTCCGCTCCACTGTAAGATGGTTTGTGCCGTCTCATCTTCCCCGGAGGCTCCTGTGTAGGTTGTATTCGCATGTACATACAAGTATGTTATCTCGGTCCTCCAATGAAGAGCAGGCCTCTGACTTGGTACTCTTTTTTTTTCATTATATCTCAAAGCTGTCTTACTAGATGATTTTGTGGCCTGGAAAGTTGCCAGATATGGCCATAAGTGTTCTTTGTCGTCCATGTTTCTAAATGCTGGGCCCGTGGGCTCATCGACGACGTCACAGTGCTGTAGAGTGGATGTTCGGTAATAAGCTAGATCGAGCAAGGGAGTACGCTGTGATGCGCAAGGCCGCAGGGGTATCGTGACCTCCTGCGAACAGATATGCGTTGTACGTAATATAGTCTTTCGCGTCTGGTCATTGACCCATGTACAGCAAAAAAAAAAAAAACGGGATTCCCGGTTGTTGAGGCACATTTCGATGATTGAATAAATGGAATAGTACTGAAAATCTGAGCAGCGGCAATAAAGCAACGGTTGAGGGAACCGCAAATGGCCGTTCCCCCTAGTCGAGTCCTTTGATGTCACACTGCAAGGCCCGCGTTCTTGCAAGTCTTCCCGTCACACCATAATCCACGCAGACAGAAGTGGGAAGCTATTCGGTCGAAGATGCTCAACTGGAATACCTCCTGTCTCTTTAGTCACTGAGGCACTAGGGAGACGGTGCCAGAGAAGGAAAAAAAGCATTGGCAAGCGAAGAGTAAAAATTCGGATACCCACCACACCAAGTCTAAGCCGGCATCCATGGGCCATGAGCAATGGGCAATTCTGGTGCCAAGCTATAGCCCAGATCCACTAGGCGAGGCCGTCGCGCTAGCAACTTTCTTTCGGTTCTGCTTATCAGTGCACCGCCGATGCTTCGATGTAATAGCTGGTGCTTTTGCGCGGCTCGGGGTTGAGAACCTTTTCGCTTTTGATGCATGTGTGAATATGAAGTGGAAAGTTGTTAGGTGATGAGTGACT